GAGGAGGAGGAGGAGGAGGAGGAGGAGGAGGAGGAGAAATAACCGAGACACACCTTATAGGCCCCGGTCACGAATGATTCCTTGTCGGCGAACATCTCCTTCTCGGCCTCCAGTTCCCGCTGGGCCTTCCTTTCCGAAAGGAGTTCTTTCTCTAGCTTGCGCATGGCTGAAGTCTTTAACAACTTTTCCACATATTTGGGCTGTAGACAGGAAAGTATCCGCATAAGTCGTCAAAAAATAGACACCCACCTTTTTAGCGGCCGCGCCTGATTTTTCCATGAGCATTTGGTTCTTCTCGCTGGTTATCTGATCGTAGATCTCATCATATTGGAAAACAGAGGCGTCCTCTTCCAGCGCCTTCTCCAGTGTAACTTTGGTCTACAGGGAGGTTTGTTAGGGCGGGGGAGGCAATGTAACACCTACCGTCTTTCTAAGATTGGCTTTCAGAGTCTCCAGTTTCGGATCAAAGTTGGGCTGCTTCTGCAGAGACGTCAGCGAAAACGGGAAGTTACACTTACAAATCTGGCATCATCTTCATCATCAGATTCCTCTGTAAACGCACTTTTCCCTACTTTCGACACCTGTTCCTGTTTTTTGCCTGGAATAATTAGGCCATATTGCTTTTCACCATAGCCTGGTATGGACATTTCGACGGACTGAAATTATGAAACAGAGAAAACCAGCAATTTGAAATAATATATGCAAAAACCAGGAGAAATAAATGAATGGCAACAACAAAATGAGACAAAAAAATAAGAGGACATAAGTGCTTTCTGCAGGATGTCACATGGCCACATTCATACTATAACACTGGAGACAAACTGTACTTGCGTTCTAAAATCGGGAAATGTATGCGATCTTATATAGTAAGTCCTGTGAAAGCCCATTGCTCAGCTGCAACGTTTTCACGTTGAACAAGAAGACGCCCTATTGTTTTGTAGCCACCTGCCCACATTTTACTTTTAGATTCCGGAATCGCATGAACCAATTAATCCATATACGTACCCACTAAAACACCGCCCACTATCTGCAAGATAAGCATGTCATGAAATGAACAGACAACGATAATAATGCTAGACACTTTCTACACATTAACGTTAACGTTTGACATACGTTAGAGATGACATGGTATTTGTATAGGAAAAGAAGAGCATCAGAATGTTCAAGCTCCGGTAGAAGACAACGTTTCCTCACTATAAACAAGCAAACGTACTTTTTTACTATCACGTTGAATTGCCAGTCATCGCTTGGAAGGTTGCCAGCGGAGGAAATAACATAGCCTTCCCTTTGGACGAAAGTCAGACTGTGATGATCTCTTTTCACCACACCCTCTATGGCATCTCTCGGTTGTGTTAAATGCTAGACCCATTATTTTAAAAGTTTAATTCGTGCGAACACACACGGCAGTCCGTGTGTGTGGCACGGCTATAAGAGTTTCACAGCTCGTCAGCTACCGCATCAAAATGCACCTCTTGGTGCTATTATATTGACTTCTCAACGTTGTGGGTGACAAAAGGGA